AAAACAGATTGCACAACATTGATGGCACAACATAGATGGCACACAGCAGAGTGCACGACACATCTGCAGAATAATAACTGCCCCCAACAGAAAGCAAACACATATTGCGCCAAATAGATTGCACAATCTAGAAATGCCTCATAGATCGCTTGAAACATACTGTTTGGGCCCACGCGGGCTAACATTCCTTCTGCAAAAACGGCAAATTCATGACTCCCGCGGCCTCCAGCGCCCCCACCCCATTCTGGGGCTCGTGCAGAAGACAATTTCGAGGATCCCACCCCCCTGCCGCTCCTTTTTTTGCAAGACCGCTGCTCAGCAGGCCCTATCAAAGAGAGACGACGCAGCAGCAGCATCAGAAAAGCTGAAACGCAGGAGCAAGAGCAGGAGCAGAACGCGGAAGAAGGGAGAAGCAGCAACAGCAGGAGCAGGAGCAGGAACAATAGAAACGCCACATGCTACTCTTGCCTGAGCCCGCAAAGCCGGGACGGCCAGGCTGGACGGAAGAACACGAGTTCACTTCCGCAGTTAAGTGACAAAATGTTGACTCCCGCGGCCCCATGTCACATCCATCACTCTCCAGAGCTCGTGCAGACGGCAATCTTCACGAAAATGCTTTGGTACGAGAAGAACAAGATCGTCCGCCAGGAGCATCCTTATATTTGCTTGCGACCACCGCCCTGCTTGCGGCCACCACCGTGCCCTTGAACACCACAGCACTCGTGAACGCCTACGTGGCGTGGGCACGGCAGCGCCTGTGAGCACCGCCGCGCCTACGCTACGAGCACTACAATGCCTGCGAACACCGCCGCGCCTGTGAGCTACACGGTCCCTGTGAGCACCGCCGCAACGCAAGCGTGCCTCACTACACACCCATCCCTGCACATACTACAAGGTTCGGTTGTCTGGGAGGGAAGGGGCGGCAGGAGGCAGGCCCGATATGATAACCCAGTTCATCGTCGGACCCTGAAAAAAAGAGCGCCTGCTCGTCGTCGTCCTTCTCCTTCTCCGCCTACTTGCGCGCAAGAGCCTTTGTGCACCACGCTGTGCCTGAGAGCACCAGGCCACCTGGTAATATCACGATTTGCACCCGCGGCAGCTCTCCAGCCTTTAGCTAACCCTAAGCATATCTAGCTACTCCCACGTCTCGTACATCTTCCCAGCTACTCTGCGAATTCCATGTGCTACTCCTAGCTCCCACTAGCCATTCCCCATCGACCTGCCGATCCTAGCAGTCTTAGCTATTAGCTATTACAAACCATTCCCAGGCCCCGTGGGCGCAGAGCGTTACGTCACCAGCCCACCCACCCCACACCCTACCGAGTGACGCAAGTTCTGCACGGAGGATACAAAATACCCATCAGCTTCATCATAATCCTGCCACTCCTCGTCCCCATCCTTCCTCCTGATGTACCCTCCTTTTCCCCCTACCCTTCCTCCTCCTCCAATTCGCACTCGTCCTCCCACTCCCCCTCCCCCATGTTCCATAGTGTCCTCGTCAACCGTCCCCATCCTCCTTATGACCTTCCGCCGTCTCATCATCATCCTCATCATCATCATCAGCATCATCATCATCAGCATCATCATCATCATCATCATCATCATCATCATCCTCATCCTCATCATCCTCATCAGCATCATCATCGTCATCATCATCGTCACCATCATCATCATCATCATCAACAACAGCAACAGCAGCATCATCATCAACATCATCACCACAACCATTATCAGCATCAGCATTAGCATCAGCATCATCAGCATCAGCACAAACGTCATCCTCATCATCATCATCATCATCATCATGATCAACATGATCAACATCATTATCATCAGCAGCATCATCACCATCATCATCATCAACAGCAGCATCATCAGCATCGTCATTATCAGCATCATCAGCATCATCAGCACTATAATCATCGTCATCGGCATCAGCATCATCATCACCAGCAGCAGCATCATCGTTATCATCAGCATCATGATCATAAACACCATCATCATAACATCAGCATCAGCAGCAGCATCATCATCATCGCCATCAGCATCAGCATCATCATCATCAGCAGCATCAGCACTATCAGCATCATCGTCAACATCATCGGCATCAGCGTCGTCATCCGCATCAGCCGACTTATCCTCATCATCAGCCGCAGCATCATCAACATCGTCATCGTCATCAGCATCAGCATCAGCATCAACATCCGCATCATGAGCGTCATTATCATGTCCATCATCATCATCATCATCATCATCATCATCATCATCATCATCATCATCGCCGTCATCATCATCATCATCAGCATCATCAGCATCATCAGCATCATCATCATCATCATCAGCATCATAATCATCATCATCATCATCATCATCATCATCATAATCATCATCATCATCATCATCATCATCATCATCATCATCATCATCATCATCATCATCATCATCATCTTCATCTTCATCTTCATCAACATCAGCAGCATCATTATCATCAGCATCATCATCAGCAGCATAATCATCTTCATGGTCATCGTCAGCAGCAGCAGCATCAGCATCATCATCATCATCATGAGCGTCGTCTCAGTATCATCATCACCACCATCATCATCACCATCATCAGCAGCAGTATCAGCATAAACATCGTCATCATCATCATCATCATCATCATCATCATCATCAGCATCATCATCATCATCATCATCATCATCATCATCATCATCATCATCTTAATCAGCATCATCATTATCATCATCAGCATCATCGTCCTTATCGTCAGCATCAGCATCGTCATCATCATCAGCGTCAACATCATCATCATCATCCTCAGAAGCAGCATATTCATCAGTATCATCATCCTCATCATCATCATCATCATCAACAACACTATCATCATTATCAGCATCATCATCATCATTGGCATCATCATCATCAGCGTCATCATCATCATCATCCGCATCATCATCAGTATCCTCACCATCGTCATCGTCATCGCCCTCACCATCATCAGCATCATCATCAGCAGCATCGTCGTCGTCATCATCACCAGGACCACCACCATCCTCGTCATCATGATCATCACCATCATCGTAAGCATCATCAGCATCACCATCATCAGCATCACCCTCACCATCACCACACTCAGCATCATCATCATCATCATCATCATCATCAGCATCATCATCATCATCATCATCATCATCATCATCAGCAGCATCAGCATCAGCAGCATCACAAGCAACATCAGCATCATCATCATCATCGTCATCTCATCGTCATCGTCATCCATCATTCTCAGCATCCTCAGCATCTCCAGCATCATCAGCATCAGCAGCATCATCAGCGTCATCGTCATCATCATCAGCAGCAGCATCAGCATCATCAGCATCATCAGCATCAGCATCATTGTCGTCGTCATCACCATCAGCATCATCATTACTATGATTATCATTGCAATCATGATCTTGATTATCATCCTCATCATCATCAACAACATCGCCATCATCATCCCTTCTCTTCTTACCCACTGCCCACATCCTGTAGGATCGCCGAAGCAAGTTCCATGGCCCAGCTTTGCCATCCACAAGCTATGCTCCATCCTGAGCAGGGCAAGTGAAAGGAAAATTGGCAGGAAAAAGGAAGATGAGGTGGCCGAAAGAGGAGAAGACGGAACAGGAACAGGCTACGAGAGGAGGAGGGAGGCGGTGGGAGGAAGAAGGGGCGGAGTAAGAAGGAGGAGAACGACGACGAGGATAAGGAGGAGAAGGAGGAGGAGGAGAAGGACGCAGGTAGGGAGGAGGAAGGGCGGAAACAGGAGGGAGGACGAGGAGGCGGACGACAATGGCGGCGGCGGTGACGACGATGGCGGCGGCGGCGACGGCGGAGGCGACGACGACGACGACGACAACGACAGCATATTTGAAGACAATTCGTTTTTGCTTGCTTGCTTGCTTACTTACTTACTCAAGTGACTCTCCATACTTACTCAAGTGACTCTCCATTTGTATGTCTCCATCTCCCTTGCACTCGCCCTCGAAGTATATGAACGTATCCCCTTTTAGGGGGTTCTCTTCTTACCACCAGATCAAGTATGAACCACGAAGAGGTAAGAGAAGACACGAGAACGAGGGTGAAATTGTTTTACCATACTGCTAGATCCTGCACCTCAGTCACCACCCTGCTTCATGAAGAACTCCACGATGTGCACGAAGAAGAACGAGCAGAAATCAACACCGAAGACGACGGGATATCCGGTGAGGCCCGTAAACTCCACGCCGCAACAGTAGAGGCCTCCTAAATGGCGTCCAAGAAAGTGGGGGTCGGAGGATCCCGCCTTATCGCCGATGCATCGCCGAGGCATCGAAGCCGTCGGCTTGGAGAAAATCCGGCTCCACATCGAGCCACATCGGCGATGCACTGGCGATGCGACACCATCCTCCGACCTCATCTACACCCTGCGAGATGCTTAAGAAATCATGGGTTAAGAAATTCATAGTCTCAGAACTTGAATAAAACCCAAAATTTCCACTCAAATCTTAGGATTTACATTGAAACATTAAGAATAATCAAGACTCTGGCCAAAAAATTAGGTTCTCTTAAGCATCGCCTAAGGTGTACTTCGACCCCATATGGGAGGCCTAGAAGAAGGGCAGTGCACCCTCCGCCGGACTCACCAAAGAGTCAGGGCGGCTGAAAGCGGCATCTCCAGTCTGGGAGCCTCGATGAGGGGGCGGCCGGCGGAGACCGCGGCGCCCGAAAGGGCGGAGATAGGAAATAGAGGGGGAAGGCGGAGGAGGAGGAGGAGGAGGAGGAGCAGGAGCTGACTACCTGCCAGACCACCCCAACCCAACCCGAAGACCCGAATTTCGGGTTGGGGGGGGTAAGGGTTCCACACGTGTTTTTTCGACGTTTCCCGACCCCCCCCCCCACTGGAAATCGAGGGTAAATCTGAGCCTTCGGGTTGGGTTGGGGTGGTTTGGTGGGTGGTGAGGAGCAGGGTGAAGTGAGCAGGAGCGTCAACACCTGAAGGGCTCAGTGGTCAAAAGCGGCAGCTTCGCGGGCGGGAGCGCCAGGGCAGCCAGGCGCCTCGGCTGCGAGAGGGCGCGCGCACCCCGAGCGGGCAGGGAGGAAGCCACGGGCGAGAGCACGGGCCTCAGCTCCATTGCGAGGACGCTTTTTTTGCGAGGACGTGTCGAGTGGGAAGCGTTGCTGTTTCACTGGCCTGACCATTGGCATGACATCCCTGGCGAGAGCGCCCCTCCTGAGTGCGAGGACGTGTCTGGCTAGGGCGTCTCTAAGACTGGAGCGGGAGCCCTTGTTGTGCAAGGTTGGCACCCACCAACTCAAGTAAATTGCGAGGAAGACTCTGGCAAGAGCGCGACGCATGAGTGTGAGGACGCCTCTGGCAAGGGCGTATCTGAGTAAACTGTGAAGAGGTGTCGAGCGGGAGCCGTTGTTGTTATGGAGCGGAAGCCCTTGTTGCTCGAGTTTGGCACCCACCAACCCCAGTGAATTGCGAGGAGGACCGGGGCGAGAGCGCAACTCATGAATGCGAGGCCGTCTCTGGTCAGGGCTTCTCGGAGGAAACTGCGAGAAGGCATCAATCGGGAGCAGTTGTTGCTGTAGTCGGGCCCTCACCAACCTGGGTAAGCTGCGAGAAAGTCTCAGGCGCGAGCTTCATTCCGAAGTGTGAAGACATGTCTGGCCAGAGCGTCTCGGGCTAGATTGACAGGTGATATCGAGCGGGAGGCGTCTGGTTGTTATCGTCGCAGCTGCACTTTCATAGGCTGGGACTGGGAGTCAAGCCCGGGCTCGAGCGGGTATTTCCCAGCTGGATAACACGATGCTGGCGTCGAGGAGAAAGCAACCAGAACCGTTCCCATGGAGCTACATTCAGGATTCTCCCAAGGTGACGACTTGACAACAGCGGCGACAGCGACGGCAGCGGCGGCGACGGCAGCAGCGGCGACGGCAGCGGCGGCGGCGGCGGCGACGACGGCGAAGGATGCGGGGCGAGGCAGGCTGGCGCACGCGAGCGAGCCTGGGCCGACCGCGCCTGCTCCACGAGGCGCGCGACCACCCCGGCGCGATCGGCCTGGGCTGGGCCGCGGCAACAAGGAGGGGGGAGGGGGAGGGGCGGCAGGGGGAGGGAGCGGGACGGGAGCGAGGCGGGAGCCGGGGGGGGGAGGAGAGGGAAGGAGGGAGGGGGAAGGAGAGAGGGGGTGGACAGTAGAGGGAGGGGGAGGGGGAGACTGGAGGAAGAGGAAGGAATGTGGGGGAGGGAGGGGGGGAGGGGGAGGGGGAGGGGGGTCCCGCATGGGCGCGGCGCACCTATTGTTGGTCGCGCTCACATGATCGAGCTGGCAAGATTGCCTCATACTCCTTGTGCTGCTCCTCCTTTGCTCCTCCTCCTCCTCCTCCTCCTCTTCCTCCTGATCTTGAACTTCCTCCAGATCCTCCTGCTCCTCCTCCCGCTGCCCCTCGACCTCGTCCTCCTGCTCCTCCTGTTTGACGCTGGCCATCCAGAAGCAGCAAGGCTGTTGCGTTCTTCTGGGGACCAAACAACAGGATTCCGACTTAACGAAGCGCGACAGGAATTAAGCTGACGGCACATGCAGAGCAGGAAATGCCCCCCAAAAAAAGAATGCTAGAGCAACCATGGCGGGCGCAGAGTAACGTAGCCGTCAACTGAAGGGCAAAGGAAGACAACAACGTAATAACGGCCTGGAGATAGCAAGCAAGGAGGAAGCCATACAAAGGGAACTGAATACACGTGCAAAATGAAAGTTGTAAAGGAAAGCGCGCCTACTTAGTGTTCGACCTTGACCCCTGCCCCTCAGTGACCCCCGGGGCGTCCCCAAAAAAGGTCCCAAGAGGCTTCCAAGCGGCCCGAAAAAAATCCGAACTCACATGCGTGGCACGGTTGCACGACTCTTGACGAATTCAATGGTATCGGGGTTGGCGGAATAGCATAAGTCTCTTAAGTAAAGCTGGGGCGACCTGCAGCTGTGGTAATACTATATAAATGTTAGCCTCGACAGTGACAATGGGCGAGCAATAAGACGATGTACGTCAGCAACTAATTGCAAATTGGGGCGAACTGCAGCTGCGAGTAATACGGCATAAATCTCAGCGCAGGCCTCAAGAGTGGCAAAAGGCGCGCAAATCCGCCGACCCTGTCGGCGTGTGGAAGAGGCTGTTCCGTTTGACTCGTCGTCGTCGTCGTCGTGGTCGTTGTCGTCGTCGAGCGCGCCAGCCGCAGCGAAATGGAGCAACGTTGTAGTGGAGTCGAAAGGAAGCCCCTTCCCTTTGATCCCTTCCCCGCTGGGGAGGGGGGGCACGGGGGGGGGCCCGGGGAAGTCCCGCGGATGTCCCGGGGAAGTCCCCCCCCCCGGGCGGTTCGGGGGCCCAGAAAAGCCCCAAGACGCGGCAGAAATGCCCCAAAATGCCCCCAAGACCGTCCTCGAAGGCCCCGAATCGCCGAAGTATCGGTCCAAGTCGCCAAAGTAGCCTCCAGACGGCTCCAAAGGTTTCCAAAACGTCCCAAGAGGCCTCCAAGAGAACTTCAAAGAGGGCACCAAGGAACAAAAATCATAGATGACTCTTAGATTTTTGAAAGATTTCGGCATTCTCGCCTTGTCAGCTTCCCGACGCTCCAAGACAGGCCAAGAGGCCCCCAAGACTGCCCCAAGATGGCCCAAGAGGGATCCAAGAGAGCCCCAAAACGACCCAAGAGGGCCCCAAGACCGTCCAAAAGGCCTCCAAGACAATCGAAGAGGCTCCCAAGACGGTTGTAAGAGGGAGCCCAGACGGGGGACACGAACGGACATTTCGAGCCCTCGGCTTGAGAAGCTCTCAAGAGACCCCCAGAGGCCCCTAAGAAGCCCCCCAGGAAGCCCCGAGAGGCCCCCACGACGCTCCCAAGCGGCCCCCAAGAGCTTCCCAAAAGGCCCCCAAACTACCCCCAGGAGGCCCCCGAGAGCTTCGTCGTTGTGATCGTGGTTGTCGCCGCCATGCAGGGTCGGCGGCACCAGTCGTAAGGCCTTCGCAATAGATTCAAGCACATGCGTTGTGCAGTGTTCCTTAGGTGGCGCGGGGTCCCTGAGTGGGGGGGCGACCACAGAGACCCGAAAGTGGCGCATCATGAGTCCTCCGAGTCCTCCGATCGCATGTCACCTTCAGCTCCTCCTCCTCCTCCTCCTCCTCCTCCTCCTCCTCCTCCTCCTCCTCCTCCTCCTCCTTCGAGCTTCGACCGTCGGACGGTTCTGCTGCTGATGCTGCTGGCGCCCTCGACCCCTCCTCCTGGCCAGCGCCAAGGGGGAGGGGTACACAAGAGCCAAGAGGTGGCGAGGGAGAGATAGGCGAGCAGCAAGATGACGAATACCTGCTGACCTGAGGGGGAGGGAGATAAGCGGGGGGAGGGCTGTATGTAGCAGCGGGTGTGCGCGGTGCGGATGGGGACCGAGCGTGGGCCCGGCACCCTGGGGGGAGCTGAGACCCACCTCGGCTCGCCTCACCTGGAGAGGAGCCACCCTCCTCCAGCCGGCCGAGGTGCCCGAGGTCCAGAGGTGGGGGTGCGAGGCAGTCGGTGCGGCGCGGCGAAGCAGCGGGATCCTCCTCCTCCTCCTCCTCCTCCTCCTCCTCTTCGTCCTCCTCCTCCTCCTCCTCCTCCTCCTCATCATCATCATCATCATCATCATCATCATCATCATCATCATCATCATCATCATCATCATCATCATCATCATCATCATCATCATCATCATCATCATCATCATCATCATCATCATCATCATCATCATCATCATCATCATCTCATCATCATCATCATCATCATCATCATCATCATCATCATCATCATCATCAGCATCATCATCAGCAGCATCATCAGCATCATCGTCAACGTCCTTCGCATCCTCCTTCTCGTCCGTCTCTTCCCCCCTCTTCCCTTCGTCCCCTGCCCATTCCACGTCCCCTTGCTCCCCTATGACCTGCCTCCTACACGCCTCCTCCCCCCTCCCTTTCCAAATCCCCCTCGAATTCCTCTTTCGCCGTCCCCTGAACATTCTGGCTCGCATTCCCCCTCTCGTTCTCTCTCTCTATTTGTCTATCCTCTCCCTCATCTGCCTCCTCATCCCATTCCACCACCTTCCCACTTATTTCCCCTCCCCTCCGCCACTCACACTGCCCCCTCCACTTCTGCCGCCGACGACGACGACGACGACGACGACAACGACGACGTTGACCCAGACCCAGACCTAAACCTTCAGAACCCATCACTATCTCAATCCGGGGGCCCCTGTACTTCACAGCCCCCGTCCAAGGGGTCGGCTACATATCTCGGCGCAGAAACAGGTCTCCAGATGCCGCAGGCAGCGAAAAGAACTGCCGTCGCAACTGGCTCGAAACGTGGGAGGACTGGCACGACCCCGAAGACGACGACGACGACGACGACGACGACGACAGCGACAGCGACGGCGACGACAACGGCGACGGCGACGGCGACGGCGACGACGACGACGACGACGACGACGACGACGACGACGACGACGACGACGACGGCGGCGGCGGTGGCGGCGGCGGCGGCGAAGATGGCGACGACGGCGACGAAAACCCCTTCCTGTACTAGCGGACGACAACCACCGACGGCCGCCGGATGCCACCGAGGCCCCGCCGCCGATCGGTCGCCGATCGGCCGCGAAGGTCACTGTGAGACCACCCGAGAACGTCCGCTAAAATGGGCTGGGCCGCTAGGACGGCGGACCGCTTCCCCCGGCGTCTCCCTCGAGAAGCACAGGCGGCCCGTGGCCGAATCGAAGTCGACGCGCACCAGCGCCCGGCAGGTGGGGCACCTGGAGTGGCCCGCATCCTGCCGGTTCCGCCGACGTCGACATGGCTGGCCTCGTCGCCTCCTTCTGCTCCTCCTCTCCTCCTCCTCTTCCTCCTTCTCCTCCTCCTCCTCCTCCTCCTCCTCCTCCTCCTCCTCCTCCTCCTCATCACCCGTAGCCATTTTGGCTCAAGCCATTTTGGCTCAAGCCAGCTGGGCAGGAGCAGCCTGCCCCCCCTTTTCTCCTACACCCACGCGCCGCAGTTTCCGCCATGTCTTCCAGGACGCCTTGGGTTCGCAAAGAAGGAGTAGGAGCTCCTGTTGTTTCGCATTCAAAGATACTTTGCCCGCTTGGCAGACCAGACTGTTGGATCTGGCCTAATAGAATTGCTTCTCAGCCGTTATGTAAGTGCGGCCTTCCGTGGCATGGGAAGAGTTCCCAGCCACTTCCCCCACCTCCGCCACCACCGTCAGCAGCGAAGTCTGGTCGCACAGAAAGGATCAAGGCTGAGGTAGTAGTTGGCAGGGAGAAGTCTCAGTCCAAACACAAGCCCACTGTTCAGGTAGAAGCCGACAGTGAGAAGACGCAGCCACCGCCGCCTCTTGTGGCAGTAAAGGCCAAATTCAAGGCCGCTCGTCAGGTAGAAGCCGACAGAGAGCAGGGCCAGGATTTCAAAGTCAGGCATCAGTTCAAGCTTTTGATCTCGGATGTCTTCCAGCAGTACGAACCGCAGATGCTGGATCAGTTGGACCATTTCTTGGACAAGTACAAAGGGCAAGAACAGTTTCTTTATTTGGCAGTATGCGAGAAATTCAATGTGGAGCCTAAGGTTAAGGTTCAGATCACCAAGAAGGAAGACAAGCTTCCAGTTTTGGACAGCGATAGCGTGTCCGACTCACCCTCTGCCAGTAAACATGTCGACAGTCCTCGTTCGACTTCTCCAGAGCACGCTAGTAAGCGTGCAAAGGTTGGGCACAGCGATGCCACCCCTTCCAGTGGTTCTGCCCCGTCCAGTTCAAAACTGCTGGAGTTAAAGTGTGGTCTCCAGGATATCAAGATCGAGCACCTCCAGCAGAAGCTAGAGACACTCCAGGAGGAGCTAAATCGTGTTAAGAATCAAAACGCAGCTTCAGGCAGTGCGCCTGTTCCTAGGAGGAGCAGATCCAGCTCAGACTCCACTTCTTCAAAGTAATTGGAGCAAATATGTTGGTAGTATCCAACCTTCTTTCAGCGGTAGAATGTTTATTGCATCTTGGGCTAAATGGCAACCTGAGTATTGGCTTAGTGAGCATCATTCTTTGGCTAAAGCTTTTGGTAGAATCCTTTTGTGTTGGTCCTTTCGTTTGGGTAGGACAGTTGTCAGTTACCCAGCGTTCTTTTACCTTCACGTCTTGTTTCCTTGGCCAGATCGGCAGAACTGTGAAACAGGTAGCTTACCTGCAGTTTCTTCTTCATGCGCTAGTTGGGCAGCTGTATTCAGCCCAGTTTATTGTACTTTTCAGGGGTCCAGGAAAGTCTGGCGAAGTAATCCCCTAGTATTCTCTCTTCCCTTTGGGGAACGGAGGTCTCGCTCTGCTAGGGGACTCCCATTAGTATGTGGGAAGAAAGTTTACCCCAGTGCTTTGCAGTCTTGATCTCCTTCCCCTTCCCTAGTCCTTCTATTCCCCCCTCCCTCCTTCCTCCCTCCAGACAGTTCAAGGAATTGGCAGCCAGGTCACAGGCGAAAGCAAGTGGCCTTCCCTGGCGGGTCTTGCCATGGTCTCACCATGCTCGAAAGTCCGAACCTGCAAGTTGGCGTTCAGGGATTGCTCTTGTCTGGGGAGGGGGTCGCTGGTGGGTGGGGTGGGATGGGATTATCCGCCCCGTTCTGGGGAAGTTCTGCATTGTTCCAGTTCTGGCCTGGGAACGGTCCATTAGAAGGTGGGCAGCGTTTAACCCGGGCGAGTTGTGTTTCATGCATGTCCTTCTCCTCCTCTCCTCCTCCTGGGGTAGGGTTCTTGGCGCCGACTCGGAACTGGCAACGCCCCAGGCTTGGACTGGGGGTCAGTTGCTGTCCGCGGAACGTGCTTGAGCTTTAGTTCAGCCCCGAAGCGAATGTCAAAATGTCCTCCTCCTCATCATCATCATCATCATCATCATCATGATCATCATCATCATCATCATCATCATCATCATCATCATCATCATCATCATCATCATCATCATCATCATCATCATCATCATCATCATCATCATCATCATCATCAGCATCATCATCATCATCATCATCATCATCATCATCATCATCATCATCATCATCATCATCATCATCATCATCATCAAAGATCATCATCATCATCATCATCATCATCATCAGCATCATCATCATCATCACCCTCCTCCTCCTCCTTCTCCACCTCCTCCTCCACCTCCTGCTCCTCCTCCAACTCCCCCTCCTGCTGATCATCCTCACCGCCACCACCACAACCACCACCACCACCACCATTATCATCATCATCATCATCATCATCATCATCATCATCATCACCACCACCACCACCACCACCACCACCATCATCATGATCATCATCATCAGCAGCAGCAGCATCATCATCATCATCATCATCATCAGCATCATCATCATCATCATCATCATCATCATCATCATCATCATCATCATCATCATCATCATCATCATCATCATCATCATCATCATCATCATCATCATCCATCATCATCAGCGCCATCAGCAGCAGCAGCCATCATCATCATCAAAACCACCACCACCACCACCACCACCACCATCATCATCATCATCAGCAGCAGCAGCATCAGCATCAGCATCATCATCAACATCATCATCATCACCAGTAACAGCATCGTCATCATCATCAGCAGCAGCAGCTTCGTCATCTGCAGCAGCATCAGCATCATCATCAGCACCAGCATCATCATCACCATCAGCATCACCAGCATCATCATTATCATCATCATTATCATCATCAGCATCATCATCACCATCAGCATCATTATCAGCAGATTCATCATCATCATCAGCATCATCATCGGCATTATCGGCATTATCGGCATCATCATCCTCATCATCATCATCATCATCATCATCATCATCATCATCATCATCATTAGTGTCATCATCATCATCATCATCATCATCAGCATCATCATCATCATCAGCAGCAACAGCGGCAGCATCATCATCAGCATCAGCATCAGCATCATCAGCACCATCATCATCTTCATCATCAGCAGCATCATAATCAGCATCATCAGCATCAGCATCAGCATCATAATCAGCATCATCATCATCATCACCACCAGCATCATCATCATCATCGCCATTATCACCACCATCATCAGCATCGCCATCATCAATACCACCGTCAAATCATCATCCATAGCATCGGCATCATCAGCATCTGCAGCATCAACGTCAGCAGTAGCACCACAATCATCAACAACAAGAACAATCATGAGAAGACTGTTCGCTCCTATCTGTTCGCGTGCCACTCAACACCCCAAACCTTGGTACCCGCCCTGTTCGTCTTCGATCGTTCCCCCCCACGTGCATTTAGCGCAGCCCCTAAAACAGGAGAAGAGAGAACGGATGGAAGGGGGAGGGACAAGGATGGAGCACGAGAGAAATTAGCGGGAGGGGGGCTAAGAGCAGAAAACACGTGGCAGAACCAGACGAGCAGATCGGACGGGCAGACCCTAGCGGGCGGATCGGAAGGCGGGCCCAGGCGGCCAGGTCGAGCAGGCGGGTTGCTGAAGCGTGGGTTCTGCATGAATCGCCAGGAAGTCTCGAGCGGTATCGCCCAGGCCAAGGCGAGAGCGCGATTCCTCAGTGTTGAGGGCGCGGCGACCGAATGAATTGCGAGGAAGTACCATGCGAGAGCGCGATTCTTGAATAAATTGTGAGGACGTCCCGCGCGAGAGCGCGACTGTGGAATAAATTGTGAGGAACTATCTGGCGGGAGCCGTTGTTGTTGTAGCCGGGGGGTCTGGGGCCCAGCTTGAGCACCAAAACTTTCCCTGTTAAAAAACAAGCTGCGAGCCCCGAAGTGCGGCACTTCACTTGGAGAAAAACTCCATGTGCACCGCTCGCGGGATCAACAACACTGTGACTCTTCAAGACTGAGCGTTCAACCAAAACAAAGACAACAACAACAACAACAACAACAACAACAACAACAACAACAATCACTTTACCCGAACGCTCAGTGTTCTCACCAGTGCCAGGGTTTTCATGCGACGCCAGCCAATACCCCCACTTTGTGGGGGGGCAGTGCAAGCTCTACCAAATATCCACACGACTCTTCGCCACCACCCACACCCAGCTTCCCGCCCTATGACGTTCGGACACTTCACTTCGTGGCCTGCGGACGACCGTGGCTACTACACTGGCGCGGTGCTAAAATTCCTAAGAAACCCAATGGTTTTTGAACATTTCGGCGTGCGCGCGCGAAGAAAAAACGAATGTGTCCCGCATGGTATTATTTGACAGGGATGATGGCCCTGGCAGGTGCGCAACCGTTGTCGCAGAAGTTCGAAAAAGTTGCTCGCAAAAGCCCGTTTGACAGAAATGTTTAAAAAGTGTTGGGTTTCCTACGAATCCGCAAGAGCGCGCGGGATGAGATTTTGACATTTTTTTGTTGAAAAACCATTGGTTTTTTGATGTTTTTATGTTAAAATCGCTCCGAACACTAAGCTTTTGGAAGGATTTCGTCTTGCGCGCGCGAATGTCCACTTTACCTTATTTTTTGCAAGGGATTCTTGAAATTTGATTATATTAGAACAAGAAATGTCATTTTATAGTGTTTTTTGCAAGGGAAAACGGATTACAACAAAACAACCGGATCTGGACCCCATCCACTTTTCTGAAGCTTTCGCGAAAAAATGATGAAAATGTAGCTGCGGCCTAGGCGCGGCGGGGGGGCCGTGCACCAGGGGTCCCAACAATAATTATTCTTTAGAACTAATAATGTTCAACAACAACAACAACAACAACATAATAATATTGTAAAGACTGTTCGCACCTATC